CTCACCAGGCGGTCTGCGCAGGAGAAGTCTTTCTTTTTTCGCCCTGGGGCCCAGTTGGCTGGGCGTCCAGCTGCGTCTAGAACACACACAGGACACATCAGGGACCTCAGTCCCCGGCCCAACCATCAGCCCTAAGGAGCCACACTCCCCTCACCCCCAGGCCCTTACCTCCCACGAAGATGCTGTCCCCAATGGAGATGGGCACGCCTTCATTGGCCTGGGGAGGGAAAGGGGACAAACAAGCCTTAGGGAACCCGCTCCCACATCTGTTCCCCTAGAGCAGTAATGGGCCTGATCAGTGTCTCCCCTGGACTGACTGTCCTCCTTGCAGGTCTCACTCACCACCTGTTCCTCTCACAGCCACCAGAGGGTGCCAGTCCCCACTTCTGTGAACAATCCTCGCCCGAGGTAAAAGTGGAGTCTGGCCCAGGTGGCCTCACACACTCTGACCCCTGCTGGCTCTGAAGTCGCCCTCCCTCACCCATAAAGGCCACCTCACTCACTGTCCCTAAACACACCTGCTCAGTATTTTGCACTTGCTGTGACTCCAGTCTGGAAGCTTCCCTCCCTCGCCACCATTAGCTCGATTCCAGTGGCACCTCAGACAGACAGACCGCCCTGGCTCATCTGGCCTCACTGACTCCCGCTGTTTTACAAATCAGTCTGTATTTACAGCCTGCACCCTCCCAGACACATGGGCCAAGCTGTGACACTTCAGACGAATGAGCCAGTGACTGATCTCTACCACCCTGGTTTTCAGTTAAAGATCACTGGCCTCGCACCAACATGGGGCCACAGAGCTAAAACAGAGAAGGTGAGGCCAAAGGGAGGAGATGAGAGGAGAGGGATGCCAGGGACTTACTCAGCGTGGAGGCTGGAAGGGGGGGCTGCAAGAGGGAAAAGGAGAGTGACCCGAGGCTGTGGCTCACCTGCTCCCGCAGATGGTCCCACATGCCAATCATCGGCTTCCGGTATAAGCCAGCATGTGTGGCCACCAGCACCTGTGGACCAGGTAGGGTCAGATACCATTCCTCCTTGAGCATCCAAAGCCTTTCACGGATATGCAGGACCTGGGGATGCTACACCATCCCTCACCAATCAAAGGAGAGCTCCCAGTGCCTCCAAACTTGCCACTTACGATGGATTTCTGTCCACATAGCCACACCCAGGACCTGCTCCCCCTCTCGGGGTCTCTGTTCCCCTTTATCCTATTCCCTCTAGGTCCTCCCTCTCCCCAAGTCCCCATCCCACCTCCCTCTGGGTCTCTGTCCTCCCAGGCCCTCCTTCAGTCTCCCTTGCATCTGTACCTGAAAGGGGACTCCCAGCTTTTCCACCACAGCCTCCACCTTGGCCTTGAACTCCTCTGCTGACAGCTTCCCACGCCCAATGCCCATCTGGTTGGTGAAGATGACCAGCTGGGGAGCAGATGGGTGTCACCCAGTGCCTTCCTAACCATGCCCCAGCCTACCCTACAGCCTGGACCCTCACACCCGCGCACACACACCTTGTAGCCCTCGGCGTCCAGCTCCCGGAGCTTCTGTGGAATCTCTAGGTACAAGATCCTAGTGGGCAGGAAAGTGGCAAGGTGACCTAGGGCCCAGAGGGAGCCTCACTCACCACCCCCTTCTGCCTCTTATCACCTCCAGTCACTGGTGCTGGTGGGGAAGACCTTCCCAGAGCGTGTGGTGATGAGGGTCCCATCCAGATCAAAGCCGGCCACCTGGTGTCACAAAAAACAAACAGTGACACCTCTGATCCTCTCACAGGCTGGTACTCGTCAACCTTGTGAGGGAGGGACTATGACGGTTCCCTGACAGATGGAGAAACTGATCAGGAAACTTCTATATCTTATGTAAAGACAGGCACAGTGAGGAAGCATCCCTGATGCCTGAGTGCAGTGCCTGAAATCTTCCCTTTACTGTCTCCTATTCTTCCCACACCCCTCAGTATTCCAAGCTGTACAATGGGGTTCATACCCTATCCACCCTGGCCTCACCCCAAGGGGCTAATAACCATGCAAGTAAGACAGGAGCTAAGTTTTGTTTGGATGCTAACTGCACATCAGGCTGTGCCACGTGGTTTTCATAGATTCCCTGTTTCGCTGGTGAGAAAAAAGGGGCTCAGAGAACATGGTGTAACAGCATTTGAACTCGAATCTCTCTTGACCTAAGAAATCCGCACTATAATAGCTCCTGCTAAAACAATCCAGATCATTACTATGGTTGCAGGGTGGTTGCCGTGGACCAGGCAGGAGAGGTCAAACACTGATTCCCCCAATGCTTACAAGCCCTGAATTTATCATCAGGCCCATTTCCCAGAAAAATGGAGGCTAAGAGAGGTTGAGTGACATGCCCAGGGGCACACAGCAGACCTGGGGTTGCATCCCCATAGTGCGGCGGCGCTCTCAGGCCCCAGCTTGGCCCTCACCTTACCCCGGGGCTTCACCCCAGGTGCGGTGAACACCAGCAGCTTCTCCAAGCTCTCCCAGCCAGGGGACGACTTCCGCATCCGCTTTTTCGGCCGTTCAACATCCTCCTCTTCCTCCTGCTCCTGCTCCTGCTGCTCCTCCTCGGTTGGGGCCGCGGGAGGGGTGCCGGGCGGAGTGTCTGGCTGGGATTCTGGCATGCGGGACTCCTCCCAGCGCAGGGTCAGCGGGTAGAGGCCATTGACCAAATACAGCGTGTCCCCCACCGCCAGAGAGCCCTCTGACTCCGGCTTCAGCTCCTGGGTCCCGGCAGTTGAAGGGTTAACTCCCCGCTGCACAGGAACAGGGAACAGCTGGGACCGGCCCCACCCCCGCGGCAACCTCCAAGCAATACTGGATGGGGCTAGTTTTTCTCTACCTGCCAATCAGACCCCTAAGCCCTGCCTCTTCGCTGTGTACCACCAATCAGGGCGTTGGAAGTTACAGGCGGTCTTTTCCAATTAACGGTGGAAGGGTACGGCCCGGAGGCGGGCAACGCCGGGGGCTGCCTGCTCGGCACACCCGCTTCCCCTCCAGCCAGATGTTCCTAGTGGGCCTGTTCCCCGCGGGGCTGCGACTCCTCCCCGACCCCACCTCCAGGCCTCGCTGAGGAACCGGTACCTGTTTCACAGCCACGGTCCGGGTCTCAGGGTCCGCGACCAGCTCCACTGAGGGTTGAGAGGGTGGAGTGAGGATACGCATCCCAGTGGGATTCCTTCCCTCACTACCGGGG